TTTCTTTCTTTCTTTCTTTCTTTCTTTCTTTCTTTCTTTCTCTCTTTCTTTCTTTCTCTCTTTCTCTCTCTCTCTCTCTCTCTCTCTCCCGGTATTGTAAGTGCCTTCTATAGTTCAATAAATGTTGCAGTGGTCACTCTTTTCTATGTGTGGGCAGCATTCCTTGTGAGAAGCATCATGACACTTTTTCCTCCTCCTCCTCCTCCTCTTCCTTCTTGCAAATCACAAGAAACTACACAGGTTTGTTATTTTGGTAGTGGAGCACTTGTTTTTCTAGAATTTTCTGTCATTTCCTCAGCTGATGAGGATATCCAGGAAGGGTAGTGCGGTGTTGTTTTCTTCTTCCTTTGTGAACTTTATTTCTTTGAAGATGTCAGTTTTGTCATGTGTCTTCCTTAGTTGTTCCTTTTTTAACAGGTATCGGCTACATGGGGGTGGGGGTAGAATTATGGCCCTTTTAGGACCTGTGGACTTCAATGCCCAGAATTCCTGAGCATGGCTGGCTGAGGAATTCTGGGAGTTGAAGTCCACAGGTCATAAAAGGACCATCATTCCCTCATGCCGGCTGAGGAATCCTGGGAGTTGAAGTCCACAAGTCATAAATGGACCATCGTTCCCTCATGAATTAGGGAGTTGAAGTCCATAAGTCATAAGTGGACCATTGTTCCCTCATGAATTATGGGAGTTGAAGTCCACAAGTCATAAATGGACCATTGTTCCCTCATGCTGGCTGAGGAATTATGGGAGTTGAAGTCCATAAGTCATAAATGGACCATCATTCCCTCATGAATTATGGGAATTGAAGTCCATAAGTCATAAATGGACCATCGTTCCCTCATGCTGGCTGAGGAATTATGGGAGTTGAAGTCCATAAGTCATAAATGGACCATTGTTCCCTCATGCTGGCTGAGGAATTCTGGGAGTTGAAGTCCATAAGTCATAAGTGGATGATAGTTCTCCACCCCTGGTCTCCATATATACCAGATCCATGCTTTGGGTCCTCTGTGTGGGAGTGCTGTGGTTTGTAGACACTGCATTACTGCACAGTTTCTGCTGTGAGTCCTGAGTTTGGTGATCGCACAATATAACTGCTACCCTCAAAACACTTGGAGAAGGGTTAAAAAGTAGAATTTAGCTTGCACCCCTTCATTTGGGCACCAGCCTGCTTCACCTACGAATACTCCAGTAGTTTATTTTCTCTTTCCCAGATATAACATCATATGGTTGGTAGGTTCACTGTGGGACGAGCTGCCCTGCGTGATGGGGGGTGTGGATTTCTCCTGCCGTCCTAAAGTTAGCAATTGTTTACAGCTGGGATCATTTAAAATTAGACCTGTTTGGAAGTTGTGGGAGGGCGGTTTCCCGTTCAAAAGGAATCCAGGATGGAAGAAATGCCGTCGTATTTTCACCTCTTCACTCAGATGACATGGAACCGGAGCAGTCATAGAGCAAGCGTGTTGTGGGGGGGGTAGCATCAAGCCTCAAATGTCCAGGAAGCTAAGCAGGTCAGACCTGGGTTTTGCTTGGATGGGGCACCATCTGGAAAGCAGGACTGGAACTCACAGTCTCCTGGGGATTGGCCCAAAATCACCCAACCAGCTTTTCGTGCCTAAGGTGGAATTAGAATGCCCCAAGTCACCCAGCCGGCTTTCGTGCTTAAGGCAGGACTAGAACTCACCATCACCTGGTCATTGGCCCAAAGTCACCCAGCCAGCTCTCATGCCTAAGGCAGGACTAGAACTCACCGTCTCCTGGTGATTGGCCCAAAGTCACCCAGCTGGCCTTCATGCCTAAGGCAGGACTAGAACTCACCGTCTCCTGGGGATTGGTCCAAAGTCACTCAGCCGGCTTTCATGCCTAAGGTAGAACTAGAACTCCCAGTCTCCTGGTGTTTGGCCCCAAATCACCCAACCAGCTTTTCATGCCTAGGGTGGAACTAGAATGCCCAAATCACCCAACCAAATTTTGTGCCTAAAGAGGGATTAAAACGCCTTTTATGCCTTAGGCAGGACTAGAACTCATCAACTCCTAGTGGTTGGCCCAAAGTCATCTAGTTGGCATTCCTGCCTAAGGAGGGACTAGAACTCACTGTCTCCCAGCGATTGGCCCAAAATCACCCAACCAGCTTTCGTGCCTAAACAGGACTAGAGCCCACCATCTCCTGGTGTTTTGCCCAAAGTCACCCACTTGACTTTCATGCCTAAGGAGAACTAGAACTCACTGTCTCCTGGTGATTGGCCCAAAGTCACCCAGCTGTCTTTCATGCCTAAGGCAGAACTAGAACTCACCCGCTCCCAGCGATTGGCCCAAAATCAGCCAACCAGCTTTCGTGCCTGAACAGGACTAGAGCCCACCATCTCCTGGTGTTTGGCCCAAAGTCATCTAACCAGCTTTCTTGCCAAAGGCAGAACTAGAACTCGCTGTCTCTAGCTTGGTGTTTTCAGCGCTAAACCAAATTGGTCATCATGAAACTTGGCCATGACACATTATTTTGCCTGTTACATCTCTATGCCAGGATATCTCGCTGATTTTAGTTATTGCATTGAGTTTAATTAAATGCTGCCCAAAGTCCATGCCGAATGGGACGAGCTTTCTAAATCTGAATTATAAACTTTGTTTTCTTTAAAAACAGCCGAGACCCCTCATTGGGGGAGCCCTTCATCCCATTAATAATGTTCATGGTTCTCTTGGGCTGCTTTTTTCATTTCTCCAAGGGCTGCGTGTAGCTTTATGACCAACACTTGATGGTCTGCCTGGGAATTTCATGACCATTTTGGCAGTGCTTTTGGGGCGCACCTTCCGCCATTCTGCAGTAGGTATCTCTGCAGCTAGATCCCCTGCGGTTGGGAAGGATGGAAGTTGTGATCTGGAGGATCACCTGGAGGATATCCAGTTGTGCCATTGCTTCCGGGACAAACTTTCGCAGTATTTTGCAGACATATTCCCGAAGACTCAATCTTGCATTAATAATAACATTGGTTATATTTTAAAAGGGCTTTAATTCTCTGCTTTGAAGTTTCCCTTTCCAAACAGAAATCTTTTATTCAAAAATGGTTAACTCCTGCCCTCTGGTGTTCACGTTTGTAAGAGAAAAATCAGAATATGCTCATTTCTGGGTGATTAAAAAATATACCACACATTCTAGGGCTATTCAATCTGAGCTGCAAATACAGCAGTCCTCTATTTATGACTACAATTGAGTCAGTGGTGGGATTCAAATAATTTAACAACCGTTTCTTTGCCGCAATGATTTCTTCCAACAAACCAGTTCACCAAACTGCTCAGAAAGTTAACAGCCGGTTCTGGTGAACCGGTGCGAACCAGCTGAATCCCACCACTGAATTGAGCCCAATGCTTATGTTGTTACGTGAGATGGTTGTGGAGTTTCTTTTGCCCCACTCTATGACCATTTTTGCCATAATTGTTAAGTGAATCACTGTAGCTGTTAACATTAGTAACATGGTTGTTAAGTGAATCTGGCTTCCCACATAGACTCTGCTCCTGGGCCACCGCCACCATCGTAAGTATGAGTCAGCAGTCAAAGCGGCTGAATTCTGATCATGTGACCATGCGGGATGCTGCAACGGTCGTTAAGTGGGGAAAAAACAGTCGTAAGCCACTTTTCCCAGTGCTGTTGTGAATTTGGTCACTAAATGAGGACTGCTTGGATTCAGATGGCAATAAAGAGAAATGGAAAACCTTAAACCGTTAACCTTGTGCCCTCTAGTGGCCCCGTGGATGTTTGCAGCTAGATCTGCTGGCTGCATCGTTTTCATGTCATGCTTATCTTTGATCGATTATTTAATGTTACGTTGGTGTCCAAATTTAATGACCGTCTGGAGAGATTTTCTCCAGAAAGGATTACAAAAATTATGTTCAAAAGACTGTGGGAGTGAAAATGGGCTGCGATCTTATCCCTGCAGGACCTGTGATGCGAAAATAAATTTAATCTCCTTTAACTCCCAATTAGTGGCAGAACAAATGAAATAGAATAGAATAGGAATATAGAGTTGGGAGGGACCTTGGAGGTCATCTAGTCCAACCCCCTGCCTAGGCAGGAAACCCTACACCAGTTCAGACAAAGGGTTATCCAGTATCTTTTTAAAAACTTCCAGTGTTTGGAGCATATGATGTCCAAAGTTGTCAGCTAGGGGTAATAATAAAAGAAAGTCTGTTAAAATACATGATAATAAATAAAGTCTTATCTGGTTGATTTTTATTTATTGCATAACATCTAAAACGAGATGTAAAATGGCCATCAAGTTGGGCTCACACCATACCCTAGACTGGACCAGAAGGGAGTTGGGTTTGGTGTATTATGGAAAGCATCAATTAGCATCCCAGGTTGTTCTAGGGATGATGAAGGCCGCAGGATAGAAGCCAGAGATTGTTTTAGTTCCACCTTAGTCATGAATGCTGCTGCGGGTACTTTGGGCCAATCCCCAGGGGAGGGTGAATTCTAGTTCCAACCTAGTGTGAGAGCCAGCTGGGTGGCCCAATCGCCAGGCCTGAAAGTCGGCTGCGTGACTTTGAGCCAATCCCCAGGAGAGGGTGAATTCTAGTTCCCCCTTAGCCATGAAAGTTATCTGGGGTGGTTTGGAGCCAGTCTGTTCTGACCCAGCTTCCCAAACACAGCAACCCTCTTGTGGGAACTCAAAAGATTCCTTTATTAGGAATGTCGGCAGCCCTGGCGAAACGTTTCTCTCTTACCGCAGGATAACGTTTGTCCGTCTGGAAGATGAATAGTCTGCCACACCTATTCATCTCCGCCCCCTGCCTTTGATCCCCAGAGCTCGGGT